CACTGGAAAACTATAAAAGCTAGAATGTCAGAGGAATAGGAAAATAAAATATTGTTGCATGACTGAATGGCCAGTACATTCCTTCCCCAAAATGCCATACTCAGTCCTGGTCATATCACAACAACAAACCCAAAGCTGAACCAGAAAAGTTCAGAGACTGGCAATGAAAATCAGTGATGCCATAAAAAAATACCTAAGTTTATGTATTTGGACTCCAGGTGACTTCCCAAGCTGAGCAGTCCTGTCTGAACAGCACATTATGGATTTAACTGTAATTTCTTTCCTACTAATACATCCAATCCCAAAACATTCAGAAGCAACAAGTGGAGTGATAGGTTTAGTGTTGATGTAAAAAAAAAAAAAAAAATCCTTTAGAGTAATTTATTACTTTTCATTAAAATTAAACCTCTTCTCTTTTTGCACAAATCAAACAGCTTGTGGTTGTTACACACCCCAGGGAATCACCCAAACTCCCAAGAAACTTTAGCAGCAAAATATTCCAATTCCTTCACTGCCTTCAGTTAGGACAGCTTTAATGAGAAAAAAAAAATAGTTTAACTGATGCAAAAAGGATTTACCATAAATTGATAGTCGGCTTATTTTATAAAATTAAGATGCTCCTCCGCATGAATGGTAAAAATGGTAAAAACTCTGGAAATGAAAGCACCTAGTAGACCACATAAAGCAGACTTTCAGTTTTCCTACTGAACCCTGCAACTGTACACATACAAATCAGGCTTATCTATTTATATGGAATTAATCAGGATTACCACTTTCATCTTGGCAATTTCACTGGAGGACGAAATCAATAGCACCCAATCAGTAAAATATGACTGTTTCCACTGCGCTGAGGCATTTTCTCTATAAAGAACTATTCTGCCTTTTTAAAAAATCAATAGCCTAAGGCATTGTATTTCAATATTGGAGACCCAGAGCTGTATTCTGGCAGGACAATCCAAGCAGCACCCCAGTGTTTGAGGCAGCTTTTCCCTATCAGCCCAGCACACCAGAGAAGCAAACATGGGCCTGTGCCTCCACGGCCATTCCCAAAGGCTGCACAGAGACTTTGGAGCTCTCAGGGGCTGAACACCTAGTCCACAGCCCGCAGAGGAAGGTAAAAAAACCCTTCTGAATCCAGCACGGGAGCTGCAGTCTGGGCCCTGCAGCCACTGAGACTCCTACAAACTGGATAAACAGAAGTGGAGCTCCCCTTCTATCAAGTGACATCCCAACATCAGCACCGATTCCTCATGGGAAACCAGCACTAATTAATTACTAGCAACAACTCCAGTTATACCTCCTCATAGGCAATGCAAAGTGAGACTTTAAACATCCTGTATCTATGAAACCACTGCATGTTTAGAAAAGTTGGCTACAAACACTGGCACACATTTTACACATAAATTATCTCCATGAAACTGGTGATGACAATAAAATTCACTTTCAAACCCCCTGCGACACTCAGGCTAATGTTACCTAAGTTAAAGTTCTGCTTTCAAGCTATAAAAACATTAAGCAGAATATTGCTCCTTGTGTCATTTGCCTAAACTCCCACATCATTTCCTCACTCATTTATTATGATTCTCCTTCTCTTGGCCATGCAACAAACTCCAGTTAGGTGCCTACAGAGTCTTCAGACTTCTGGCTGAAGGTTAACCTCGTGTAAATCACAAGGGCATTTTATCATCAGGAGCAACCAAATAGTCTTATTTGTATAAGGAAATATCTACCATATGTAACTTCCTTACTTACATTGATAAGTTAGCACAGGGTAACCAAGCCAAGTTTTTTTTTATGACACTTTTTGTTTGCTGTTTTTCACTGTGATGAACATTAGGCACAGGTGTGTACACACCTGACAACTTTGAAACTGAAGTGTTAGTTTATTAGGAAAGCTTCATAAGCCAGTCAAGTAATTTTCTTAGATGACTAATAAACATGCAGTGTAAAAGCCATATGCAACCTGTCCATATGGAACAGGAATATCAAGCAGGGAGACCGGTGCTAAACTGACTTGGGACGTAACCGAGACCTGAATACTTCTGCTCTATTTTTAACTTGGGATATAATTAGAAATAATCAAGCAGCACACACAAAACAGAAACAAATGACAACCTGCTGTTTCTAGGGTCCCCAGCTGATCTGTGCTGCCATCCTTAGCCTTCCATACCTCCTCCCCCCGCATTACTCCCCAGGAAGAGCATCCCTGGCAGCAGCACCTGGATGCACTTCCCAGCTTGCTGCTCACAGACCCCTTCAGTTCTGGACTCCTCCTGCAGCTCCAGGCCCACCAACTGCTAATTCTGCTCCATTGGGACTTCCCAAACTGGCAGTTTGTCCTCTAAAAACAAAATACATATCAATTCCAAGGACTTCAAGAACACAAGGGAGAGACAGAACAAATTTCCTGCTTCTGAATAATCTCATTTGCAATCTTAATGGTGTATACAGGGTATCACAGCTTTCCTATTAAAAATTAAGTGACACCAGTTTCATTTTTATTTCTAATAATGCAATCTGTATAGATCCAGGTATTTATGCTTATCTCAACTCAGTTACAAACAGTTATAGGAGGCAGGATTTAGCTTAATTTGATGCTTCTTCTTGATTTGTTTTATTCCCTAAGCTAAGTGAAATGTCGTCCCAATTCTAAAATCAGCAGCTCATCTCACCTTATCTGCAGAGCAACCAACTACACTGGAAAAACACACTAATGTTTGCAGATATACAAATAAATGAAGTTATACAGTTTTCTCCTAAAATAATTCAGCTGCACTCTTTTCTTCTTCAGAGAGCCACAAAGAGCTATTTATAAATAGGATCAAATGTCCCTCCAACACACATGACCCCATACAAAGAATATGGGCTTTCAAATCTGCAACTTCTGCTCATTTATGGCACTTTTACCCACACTAAAACACCAGCATGAGGGTTTTTTTTGCATTAAAACCCCTTGTTCTGGACATAGCTAGCAGCACTTCAGCCTTGACAAGAAGCTAAAGCTCCACCTGGACCTACAAACCTAGTGCTCCTCTGCCTCTCCAGCCCTCAGTGTCAGCCTAAGGAGGCTCCTGCCAGCATCCTGAAGAGATCAAGCTTCGCCCAGAGCATGGAACAGAAGACAACACTACCCTCCTTCACATCTAAACTCCAACAGAACTTTCATGCCATGGAACATCTGCACCCAACTCCCTGTCCTATGAGCACCTGCCCATGTAAAAGTATGTGGAACATCCTGTATTTAGGAAAACTACTAGCAATTAGATGGGAAATAGTGTGAATTAAAATGAACTTCATCCACTACACATCCTCTTTATTGAGACAAAGAACTAAGAGAGCCTTTCTCTCTTTCCTCTGTAAGTAACTGGTACAAACACCCTCAGACAGGAAAAGCCCAGCTCCTGGTCCTCCCCAGGGATCCCACAGGACACATCCGTGGACACAGCATAAAAGCACCTTCCACAATAGAAAGAGAGGAGAAGAGGAGGAGTACACCAGAACTTCCAAGATTTCCACAATGATACTCCTACATTCCTGCTCTGATAAACAGCTCCAATGAAGGTTTTATTCCATATCATTTCAGCACATCACCCCTGCTCTGCAGACTTAATTCACATATTTGGCTCCAACAGACAGAACTTCACCTACTAATTTGATTTCCTCCAACCATAAAGCATTATTTTGAACTAGCAAAGAGCTACTAAAATAACCATAAGACTACTAAGCTGTCAGGAGAGCAGGAATATCAGAAAAGAATCACCACGTGGCAAGATTTTACACATCACAAAGTAACTTATCTATTACAGATGTTCTGCAGATTTGAGTCAAACTGCAATATTTTTCAAAAAAAAAAAAAATCTGCTTCAGACCTGGAATTTGCAAAGCTTGTACTGTGTAAGAAAAATAAATATATTCCCTGTCAACAGGAGTCAGCTCACATGGCTCCAACAGTGGTGTCCAAGATGAGAACCACTGTGGAAGATCCTGCTTAATGTAGTTTGAAACAGAACAATTATACCATTTAACGCCAGAATTTAACCATTCTTACTTTCCCAAATTGCTAACAAGTTGCTAAAAAACTCATTTGACCAGCAGTTTTTTCCATATTCCACTTGCACAGAGTTCTCTCTTAAACTATCAAGATTCAATCAACCTGCAGGGGGTATTTTTTTTTTTTTAATCCCAGCACTCAGCATTCAAGACCAGATTTTCTTTCAAGCATCCTACCAGTTTATTGCTGGCAAGAAGGAAATAAAGAAGTTACTTTTTCAAGCCGGTATTTGGCATAACGAGCAGATAACATCGCTGCAAAGCTAAGGAGGCTCCTGTGGTATTAATGGTCTCATGTAAGGGCTTTTGAGAGAGCCTTCTCCTGCCTCACCTGGGTGAGATTACGTTTTCCGTAGCCTATAAAGAACCAGGATTCAATCATGGACCATTAAAGACAACAATGGTAAAAGGTGTGAGAACTACCGCGGCTGAAACGCTGCCAGACCGCTCATTTCTGGGCTACTGCGGCAGTTCCCAGGCAAGTTGCTCTCTCTCCACAGGTTGCCGGTACCGAGCCCGTGCCGCTTCCAGCAGCCCTCCCGAACTGGGGCAGAGCCCGCCCGTGCCCGGCTCCCCTCAGGGGCAAGCCGCAAGCCCGATCGCGCTCAGGTGTGCCCCGCTCCCCTCACTGGTGAGCTGCAAGCCTGATTCCCCTCAGGTGTGCCTGGCTCCCTCCCCGGTACCAGCGAGCCGGGAGCACAGGTGGGTGAAGCGTTCCATCCCCCGCAGAGGGGGCTCCAGGTGCCCCTTGTTGGCGGGGAGGCACCGCCGCCGCTCCCCGAGGCTCGCGGTGGCCGCTGCCGGAGCCCGCACGGGGGGGCGCAGCGGGCTCAGCCCCTCGGCAGCGCTCGCCCTGCCGGGGCCGCCCCGGGCCCCGCCGCCCCCGGGACCCCTCCGCGCCCCCGCACAGCTCCGCGCCCGCCGCGCCCGGCGTCTCGCCGCGCTCTTACCCGTCAGGAGGCTCCGGGAGCCGCTCCGCGCCGCGGCGCCGGTCGGTGCGGGCTGCGCGAAGAGAAGGGCGATGCACAAGGAGCTGAGGAGCCGCCGGGCTCTCCGCGCCGCCATCGCTCCACTCCCCGCGCCCGGCAGCCGGGCTGCACCCAGCGCCAGCCCCTCCCCCGGGGGGGCTCCTCCTGCCTTCCTTCCCTACCGGGCGGGCTGCGCGGGGGCGGCGGAGGGAGAGCGGCGGGCGGGCGGAGCGGCCGCGCTCCCTCCCTCACTCCATCGCGGGCCGGGCTCCGCCGCTCGCTCGCTCCGTCCGTCCCTCCCTCACACGGACCCCGCGGGGCGCGCGCCGCCTCCCGCCCGCCCCCGCCTCGCGCATGCGCGCGCTCCTCCCCTCCCGCCCCCGACCCCCGCGCCAGGTGTGCGCGCGCCCGTCCCCCCCCCCCCCCCCCCGCGCGCGCCACCGCGCCTGCGCGTGCGCGCGTGGGGGGGCGGGGCCGCCGCCCTCTCCTGAGGGGCGACGCGTGCCCCCTCCTCCCCTGACCCCTCCCTCTGCCCCCCAGCCCTCAGGCTCTGGCTGCCCGCCCCCGACCCCCGCGCCAGGTGTGCGCGCGCCCGTCCCCCCCCCCCTCCCGCCGCGCGCGCCACCGCGCCTGCGCGTGCGCGCGTGGGGGGGCGGGGCCGCCGCCCTCTCCTGAGGGGCGACGCGTGCCCCCTCCTCCCCTCAGGCGTTCCGTGCGTAAAGTCCGCGGGTTTTAACGCAATAAATCCGTGCTTTCCCCTCTCCTGGACCGGCCCAGCACGGGTGCGGGACCTGCGCGTTTCCCGCACGTAGAAACATGGAAAACCTGACGGTTCGGCACCAATCCGAGTATCCCCGCTATGTGGCGAGCCGGAGGGTGTGGGAAGAGGGAGCCCTGCTCTGCCATGGTGCTGGTTACCAGCAATCCAGAGCCGCCAAGGAACCCGAAATCCAGCTAAATGTAGAAAAATAACTTGCGGAAACTTGTTTTCTTGGGGAGCGACTCTGCTGCTCTGTTCGGGATGCCGCCTCTCCAGTAAACATGCTTCTCAAAGGTAAATAACGTGAAGAAAAGGCCAGACGTGCTCTTAAAAGGCAAATGCAATGTATTTTCATCCTCCTGGGGGTAATTAGTTTTATACAGCATTTGCCATTCAAATCCAAATCACTATAATGCCGCATCGTTACCAGCCCGTTCCAGCCCTACTGCCAGATCCAGTCTCCTTAGAAAGGACACAATAAAAGCTATAAATATACATTCCTCCTTCATTAATCATATGGAGTGTACTCTGATATTTTTTCCATCTCAGCTTGTTTCCCACTAAATTATATTTTTACAATACACACGGTGTCCTGGTTCATTTTACTATTGACTAATTGAATCGTCTTTCAGGACATAAATTACATGGGACCGGGGCTGGAGGTAACCAGGAGAGAGCCTGACCCCTGGGGCACTGCAGGATGTGAAATATGGGCACGTCCCCTGCAAAACACGTTGCAAAACATTTTTAAACGAAATTTAAATAATCTGTTCCCAAAAAAACAGGCTTTAACGCTGGTTGTGAGACTCCTGTTAAGGAAAGTTTCCCTTGATAACCTCGGTGTGTGTGGCAAGGGTGTCCCTCTTGTTGCAGGCAGCTCTATATTCCCGTGAAATTCTTCTTGATCCAGCGGGATTTGCAGATTTGTTTATGGAGAGGGTTTTCTGCGAGGCAGAGGCTGGCAGAGTGCACAGTGCCCCAAACGCAGGTGTGGATTTTGCTGTACAGGGATGTGGGGATGCACACAGCAAATTAAACACTGACGTGACTGCAAAGCACCAGCTAATACAGGTGTCTGAGGCATCTCTCCTTGTGAAGCTTGCTTCATTATTTTATGTTTCTGTCAGGAAACAGGGGGTTTGGCCACTAAAAATATCCCGGGGCATTTTCACAATGGAATAATTACCTCCTCAGAAGGATGTTTGGGTTTCTCCAGCTTACCCTTGCCGAGCTACGCTGCTATCTGATATGCCACAAGGATTACCAGCAACCAGCTGCAATTTATCCTGAAAATGGAAGTGGTGATTAAAAGGCAGGACTGTAGCGTAACTCCTATTAAAGCTGGTTAGCAATTCCCATCGTAAAATCCTGCCCTCAGTCGCAGTTTAATAGGGCCAGCCTAACCACTGTGCTGAAATTTAGGCATCTGAAGTTCATACCTTGGGTTAAATTATAAATATTTCTCCTTCTGTTCCTTTTGTCAGGGATTTTCTAGTCTGAAAATGAGAGTGGCCACTTTGTCAGAGGTGTTGCCTCAAACCCTGCTATGAAAACCCTCCTGAAAGTCCTGCTGGTTCTTGGCAGGGGCTTCCTGGCACTTCCACTCCCCAGCAGCTCCATCCTCTCCACAGCCCAGGGCTGTGGGATCAGAGCTGGACCTGCAGCTCCAGTTCCTGACCATGCCATGTCTGCAGGTAGGAAGGGCGGACCTGTCCTTCCAGTCTTCTTGGGAAAGACAGAGCAGGAAGCTCCTTGAAAAACACACAGTGGGGACAGGAACTGGGTCTGGGACAGGTACGTTGGCAGGCACAGAGGCTCTGGAGAGAGACAGGTTCTCCAGGGTGGTGAAAGGGAATGAGCCAGAAGGAAAAACGGGTCTGCCTGGAGGGAGGGATAAAGCAAAGCTCATAAGAAAGAGTCTGGAAGCCAGGCCGCTGGGAGAAGACTTTAAACCAGAGTGGAAATGGGAGAAGTTGCTGGGAGGAGGATGTGCAGCCTGAGAGGACTGCGAGCTGTCCCTGTGCTCTGCTCAAGGTTTGAGGAAGAGCTTGCTGGGCAAAGGGGATCAGATGGAAGAGCTGGAGTGGGGCAAGGGAAAAGGACCCCAAGCCTGGTGCGGCATGCAACATGGCCTTTGGGAAGAGGGAATTCACTAGAGACAGTGATGTAGGAATGGGAATGACAGAAACTGGGGGAAGGAGGCAGAGCAGAAAGGTGAGGATTTAGGAATGGGAATGAAGACCACCTGGAAAACAGTCAGCAGGTACCTGAAATAGACTGAAGAATGTATCTCACCCCCTTGGAGTGCTGGAGCTTGTGTCAACCATGACATCCCTCACAGAGGGAAATTTCCACATTGCTGATGGCCTGCAGCGATGTCAACCCAGGATTACATTACTGGGGTTATCTCTACTTGGGAAGGAAGTACATATTCCATAAAGCAAGAGTACTCAGGCTGCACAGTAACACACTCCCTAGTTATCAAACACCAGGATAAAGGCAACCGGTGCAGGAGGATATGCCAGGCTCAGACACTGAACCAAGGTCAGGGAACCCAGGCAAGTGCCTGAACAACTTCCACCCCATTTACTGCAAAACTCAAACTGTTTTGTGCACCTTGTGAGGAACTGCTGGGCAAGCAGGCACAGCGCTGTGGGTGGGGCAGGTGACTGCTGCTTTCAGAAAGGATTTTTAGCCTCTGGAGTCTGTGGGATGCAAAGCACAGTCTCTAAACAGAGCTGCCCAGCGCTGCACTAATTGTGCAGTCAGCACTGCCCAGGTGCCTGGGCTGACATTTTGAAGACTGACTTGCAGGAATTAAGAACTCTTGCAGATAAATCTGCAATAACTGAGAATGTATACAACTACTGACTCAATTAGATGCCTGGCCATGTTCTACTTTATGACAAAATCAGGCCATTGAGTATTTCTAATTGGATCTCTGAAATGAAAAGATATTTTTTACTATTCTGTCTGTACACCCAAGTTCCTCGTCTGTAAAATAAGGGCAACACAAGTTCTCACTACAGTGTTGAAAAAATGAATTAGTGTTTGTGAAGCACTTGGATACCATAGTGATGAGTCCCATGGAAAAGCTCAGGAGGAAATGAATAAATCTGTCTTCAGAACAATATTTGAATAGTCTGCTGTAAATAAAGCACAGGCCACACAGTGAACAGCGAGGAGAAAATAAAATTATTACTTAGTGAGCACAGTCTATTCTGTACAATGAGTGAGGCCAGGAACCTGTTGAAAGAGCAACGTGTGATCTAATTAGAATTAAATACTGTATCATAATGCAAATGCATGGAAGGGACAAATTACAGTTGCATAGGCCACCTTAATGTTGGTATTTCTAAACTTTTAGTCTCTTGAATATAAAAAATAACTCCAATGTTAGGTGCAAAGGTGTAATACACATGTATAAATGATTTCCTCACCCTTTAATAGTGGGAGACAATATATTTACCTCCTCTACCTCAGCCACTTAAGTGGAAAAAGTGTTTTTCTCCTCTTGGAGATATCTCAGCCTTACAGCCAAGATTTAACGCTGTCATTCACATGCTGACGTAGAGATTTAAATCCAAAATTTACCTTCTTTGAGAGTCTGTGCACGATGATCAGAGACAGACTATTCTCCAGAGAGGGAGCCAGAGGAGGACCTTCATTTCGGTGATTAAAATTTTGTGTTTTGCTTGGAGTGCTTCCCATTCCAAACCAGCCCCCTGGTTTTGGTGCAGAGGCAAGGTTATGGAACAACAATTTGCCTGATCTTTGTGACTTCTCAGTCCCGAGGCTACAGTGAGCTTTCCCGACTCCTGCTGAGACTTGGAGCCGCTTCAGAGCGGCTGTAAATTGCACTGGGTTATCTGTCGCCCACAAGAAGGGTGATGGAATTAGGATTGCACTGTTCAGTGCCACTCTGGTCGTGCCTATTTTTCTCATCGTGATTTCTCTATTGCTTAGCAGGATGTGAGGTGACACTCAATCGTTACACCAATTTATTGTTATCCAGAGAATTTTCCGTTCCCAGGCATCCTCTGGCAGCTGGTAAAGGCAATTTTGGATAAGAAGGGGCTGCAGCACAAATAAAGATGTGGCTCGTTAAGTTTAAGACTTAGAGCTATGAGATACCTTCACTTTAACCTGCTGTGCTTCCTCCCTTGCGTGAGGCATTGGCTCCATTCATGGACAGCATCTGGCACATGGCCTGTCCGATTATTCCCAATCTCCATCCTGATTCCAGCACCAGTGCCCAGCAAGGTGTGCTGTCTTTCATCCTTCAATAGGGGCTAGATTTATTTTTTCATTTATTTTTCACATTTATTGGTCACAGATGTGGTTTTGCAAACTGCTCTGAGGTTAAAAGTCATCCTCTGGACTTTGCCAAGCAAATTCTAGGTTAGCAGGTCATATGCCAGAAACCCTCCAACCCCAGCATATACTTCTGTCACTCCTGAGGTCAACAGCAGTTCCAGCTCCTCACTGGAATCAGGGAAGGTCATAAATGGAGGCAGAGCTTCCAAACACTGAGCTGAGTTCCCTGAGATGGCTGAGAGGAAGGTGGAGCTCCTGGAGTGCCCCGTTGACAGAGTCTGAAACACAAACAGGGTAGTTGGTGTAAAATGCTTTTAAAGGCTTCCCTTGCCGAGAAAGGGAGCTGCTGATGTCTAATCCAATGTTTGTTTATTTAAGGTTTTCAGAGATATATGGAGGGAACCTAAAATCCAAAACGCAGGGTTTACTGGAATCCAATCTCCAGTTTAAAAGAAAAGGGATTTGTTATCAGGAAGTGCACAATAATGTGGGATATGGGTCTCTGATCATCCAGAAGGAGAGAAATGCAAGTAACACCTAAGGGGAAAGGCTGATATTACTGCAGTCCATGGGATTTTTGTCATCCATGTCAGTAGCATGAGATTGCATCTTGGGAAGCCTGTCATGGGATGACACCGTGCCACAGGTGCTCACAGTGACTGTATTTTCCTGTTTTGGTGGTTGTCATTAGTCCCTGCTCTCAGATGAGATCATTACTGGTGACACACTGACCACTCCATTCTGCTTCCCCACTGTCCATGCCCTCACTTTTCCAGTGTCCCACTTCTCCCTGAGCTACAACTCATCTTTGGACTGAAAGACTTTGCACATCCAGTAAGAGAGGAGACAGATGATCCATGCCCTCTTGTGCAAACAGGATCAGTCTCCTCTGCATCTTAAAAACCACATAAGCCAGGCAAGGATTCCAGGTGATGTTTATCCCAAAGCTTTTCCAGCAATCCCACAAGAATGTTAATTACTGACATCAACAATCTTGTTCTCATTCATATAACAGGTGTGCCTAAAGGTCTTACCTGAGGTTGTGTTAGATACCGTAGGATCGCACAGGAGAAGCACAGAGGGATTTTAGTCCAGGTTATCCTGACAGGAAGTCAGAACCATGGAGAGGTGTTGAAGGTAGAGCCAGCAGAGCCACCTTTCACATCTCCTGAGTCCCAGTGCTTCTGCTCTGTAAACACCATCACATTTTCTCCTGTGCCAGGGGAAGTGAGACGGCAGCGGTCTGAGAGAATTCAAAGCAAGAGGAAAACTGTGGAGAGGAGAAAGGATAAGAACAAAAGGAAAAGAATTGATGCTTAGTACACAGAAACAGTCATTTGCCTCTGGGCTTGGGAATTCAAAGAAATAACCTTAGACCAACAGCTGAGGATGCTTGAAAAACACAGCCCATCGCTCCTGGGGATCCCAGCACACCTCACAAACCTCACCTTTGCCCATGGCAGGAACCAGCAGCACCACAGCCTGGCCCTTTCTGTGTGTTACCTGAAAGGGTCAGCTGAGGTGTTGGGTCATATGGCTGGAATCAGATGTGCTGGGGGATTCCTGGAAATGGAAAGAAAAGGCCACATTATCTGTGAGAGATACAAACACATCAGCCAGAGTTAGATGAGCAAGTCCACACCTAAAACTTGAGACCAAACAGACTTGACTGTTGTGTCAACACCTACAACTCCCACAAGTGGCCTTCCTTTTGGTCTGTATCTCAGACTCTGATTTTAGGTGTTTAAAACTGAATATATAGAAACAATGATACCAGGAGTAATTTGCTTGGACATAGCTGAAGTTGTCCCTCTGCTTTAAATGGCAGGAACTGGAGGCACAGCGTGCTATTAGAACCTTGTGCTGGAAGAGTAAATATAAGCAAAATTACCTCAGTCTGCTAATTCAACAATTCAAAACCAGTCATTGCTACAATGTAGTGAAGACAGGGACAGGGACAATGAACCACAGAAACAGGAAGGCATAAAGAATTTGGACAATAGGCTGGGACAGAGACAGAGTCCTGTTTGCTATAATAATCTTGTTCATGCACTCTCAGCCCTTTAAAGTCATAGTTTTGGCTTTGCTTCCTCCAACTGGAATGCTCAGACAAACCACATCACCCTTTCAAATGCTAGGAAGGAATTTCCTATAAATATAATGGATTTTTCATGGAGGAAATATTGGACTTCTTCATTTTTACCATGTTACCTGACAAAGGAACAAACTTGAACAGTTGTAAAATTAAACTTTTCACAACAAGACCTGGTTAACAAAGGGCTTCCATCCCCCAAGTTTATAGAATGTCACAGAAGGGTGCCTGGAGCACTGGTGGATTCTTTTGCCACAGGATCTGTACATTGTCATCACGGGCTTCCCAAATCACCATCCTGCCAGGAAAGGTTGTGCTGCAGCACCTGGGAACACTGCAAAATTCTGGACAAGACCTTGGTGATGTAGCTGTCAGAGGAGAGCATGGCAGTCTCTTCCCAGAGAGCAATGGCAGGAATGCAGCCCTGATTTGCTAAGGAGAGAAACAAGCTTCTGTTCACAGCAGTTCCTGGTTTAAAAGCAGAGTTATTGACTCATTCTGCACGCATTTTATTTTTAAATCATTCTAACCTCTTGTAATTCTTAAGCATCTCTAAAACCAAAGTGAATTAGCCGACATTCCTTCCTACTGTTTCCAGTGCAACTTCTTACCCCACAGCACAGTCTGACTCTTTCTCAGCTGTAGGACTGAGCACTATGGGGACACGAGGACAGTTTAAAAAGCAAAGAACCCACTTTGTGCCAAGGGATGGTGCTGTACTGAGAGCTCTGGCAGGGAGAATGTGGGCAGCCTTCAGACAGGTGAAGAGTCTCACTCCTCAAGCTCCAATCTGACACTTCTCACAGACATTAATTTCACTGGTTTTGTTGTTGCTTAAGCAACCCTTCAGGTCAACACTTCTGCAAAAACACCACCTTTCTCCCACCTTTCCATGCTCGTCCCAGGGGACCAGTGATCAAAGGCAGGAAAGCAAACCAGGGGCTCTGATGGGATGTGGAACATGGGTGATGGAGCCGTGAGCCCATAGGATCTCCCTGACAGGTACTTGGCACATCAGGATTGCTGGGTCTGCTGTCACACAGGGGTTCTACCACTGGTGTTATTCCCTCAGCATCTGAGTGGCAGGTTTAAAATAAAATTATATGAATGCTACAGGCTGCAGGCCCTGGCTGAGCCCTGAAGTCAGACAAATTGAAACAACAAATATGCCTGGATAGCAGTTCCCTAAGAAATGTCATCCTTCCACTGCTCCGCTGTTCCTCCTAACAGAACCTGACGGGACTTATTGACTGCTCGCTATTCCTGTAACTGCTTCGGAAGTTATTGATTCTGGGAAATATGAAATGTGTCTCAGAGAGGTCAGAATGTGCCTCTGTGTCCAAGTGAGACACTTAGGTCTGCAGAGGCACTGAATGAGGCAGAGGGAGCAGCAGGAAATGAAAGGTGGGGAGTGAACCAACAGGGATCAGTGGGGTTTGAACACCACTGCCACAAGAAGAGGTGAAGGTGCCAATCCAGGTTCCTTGTGACCAGAAACCACCACAGTGTAAATGTTGCCCAGGCTGTTGCTCCACCTGCTTTCCTCTGCACTAATACACATTTGTAAGGGATGCTCTTAGAAGGACAAAAAGTTGAAACGCATTTCCTCCTCCCATAGAGGAAGGCACATTCTGGCAGGAGAATATGGGAGGAAAATGCTTTTATGCTATACAGGCAATGAACATTTTGTGCACAAGCAAAGATGCCTTCACATTCCCAGAGGAATTCAGCTAAAAAGCATCACTTCCAACAGCTGGAGAGAATTCAGACGCTTGGAACAAACTTATATTGCTAAAAGTGGGGAATTGGTCAAGAAAGATGTTCAGGCTATCAGAAGTTGTTATCAGAAGTGTCCTTCGTTTCTGAAAGCACAGAAGTGTAGGTATTCAACAAAAATCAATTTCTCAAAATGACTCTCCTTCCGTGACCGAAAACCTTTGGTGAGGGCTGAAAAGAAATTGAGGTTTATGTCTGTATCATATGGACATTTAGATTCCACGAAGCAAAGCAATGGTATTTTTCAGCCATGAGCCCTCTGAGGCAGGTAACAAATAACAGAGATTTGACGGAGGGAGAAAAGCTTTCTCACAAATCTCCTGTTTTCCCAGTCCCAAAGGGCTGCAATCTGCCTCTGACTCCTCTTCCATGCTGCTGCTCAGTCCATGATCTTTTGGGTTTGTGTTTTTAGGTGGGAGTCCAGCATTTTCCTGCTGACCTCCAGCAATCAGTAGCACTCAGCTGCTCCTTCTGGGGTGTCATCGTGGTGTCCACCACTCCTGAGGCCACCAGGACATTCTGGGAACCACTGCCTTTGGACAAGGCAGCACAGGGGACCACAAGGAACAGTAGGACTGACATTTGTTTTTATGTTTACTGCTGCTACTGCTGTTAACGTGTATTGTTGGGTTTTTTTTTCTAAAGATCAGAGTTCATGAATTACGCTCAGCCTAAAAAGAAATCTATAAAAAGTATCAGTGAAAGACATCAGGAAGAAAAAACTCATAACCACTCCTGTTCTCTTACTCTCTATTTTTTTGTTGTTGTTTTTGAAGTTCTTCATCCAGTTTCAGGCAAATGCAGCAGTGCCTGGGGTGTGGTGCTTCCAGAAGATTCCTGAAGAAGCACCTGCTGGGCACAGGCTCCTGCTGTGGGAAGGGAGCAGTGGGAACTCAGACACAAGAGCAGGTAGCTGCTGTTTCCACACCAGGAAGAGGAGGAACTTGGTCTTGTTCCTGGCTACAGGTGGCTCTGACACATGAAAGGTTTCACTAATTCTCAGTCAAGACAAGTGAATGATGGCTGTCCTGTTAGGAGTGACTAAGGAAAGATATCCTGCACTTCACCTAAAACTGAAGAATGGCAAGTTTAGATGGGATATTGGGAAGAAATTTTTGGCTGTGTTTGGTGCTGAGGCCCTGGCACAGGGTGCTCAGAGCAGCTGTGGCTGCCCCATCCCTGGAAGTGTCCAAGGCCAGGTTGGACAGCTAGTGGAAGGTGTTCCTGCACGTGGCAGAACGTGGAACAAGGTGGTCTTTAAGGTCCCTTCTAACCTAAACACTTCTGGGATTCTGTGATCAAGAATGAGAGAATGCCAACACAGACTGAAATGTGGACAAAATCCCCATTTGGAGTTCTTGGTCCCAGGGTGGGTGGGGTGACACTGCAGCAGGAGGATCCAAACCACAAAGTTAAGTGAATATTCAAGTTGTTCACCAACTTAGGAACTTCTAGGAACTTAATTAACCCCAACACAACTCTACATGCAGACTTTGGGGATGGAGCAGTAACACTGCTCTAAGTCAGCTCCCACAGTGGGGATTTCCCTTCTGACCAAAGAGCTCCCTTGGTCAATGTATGGGGAAACACAGACAGCAAAAAAGATGGTGGGAAAACTTAGCAGCATTTACAGTTGTGTTGGAAAGCCTTGTTCACATCAAAACACCTTCCCCAGGTACCTGAACCAGAGAATGGGGATTTTAAAAACAAGGAAAACCTGCCCAGAGTGTTCAGTAAATCTGAAATGAGAACACCCACCTTAAAGCTTACCTCCTATATGGGATTTTTACCTGACACCAGAGGAAAGGTGAAAAGGCTTACAGCTCTGTGAGAGATAATGACAGAACTGACAGCAGTGGACTCTGCTGGGTCACCAGAGAAAGGGGGGAACACAACCCTTTGTGATTACAGTCAAATACAAATAAATATGTTGGAAAAGAACATCCTCTATTTCCTGCAAGCAGTAAAGTTGGGGGGGAAATGGCCTATGACAAATATTTTTCTCTGCTGGAGGCAGCAGCAGGGCTCTGACATGCACATTGGAAAACAGACCATACGTTTGTGCATATTCAACAGCCCCACTGGGAGACATCATTTCTCAGGCTGCCATTGGGGTTGTGTTTGGCACTTGAACTGTTTCGGGGGCTTTGATAGTCCAGGATCTGTGTAGAAGATGTTTTGTTCTGAGGGAAAAGAGCACAAGCACATGACTAGAAGCCCTGATAACCTTTTGAAAAACCCAGACCAGCAGAGCTCAACAACGCAACTCCTTTGTAATGGAAATGCCATACCTAGGCATGAAATTAGGAAAGCAGTGTGTACAAGTGGGTTCCAAGAAGATTGAAGTCTTCCCCAAAATTCCTGCCCCAGCAGAAAAGGATGTAAAGTTAGGACACCTCTGAGTGGTGAAGTGTCGACCCAATTTAGCTGCCCAAGCAATCAATGACGGATCTTTATGAGTGTTCAGGAGCCCTAACACACAGATCTTCCCAGGGAAACTGAAAGGAGCTAATTAATAGCCCAGATAAACAGAATGAAATGCAAAGCTGGACATAGATCTTTACAGGCTGGTGCTGACTGCGCTGAATTCTCTCCTTGCACTCCCAGCTGACCCCACTGAGGCATCAAGATTAATGCTTGTGCAAAAAGCTTTTGCTTTCCACTTTTTGTAAAGCACTTGCAGACTATCTACTCGAGTGTTTCACCTGGCTGCAATTAGAGATAGTTTAGTCTTGACCTACAGACTTAGGTGGGTGTAGTTTTGCTCTCTCCATCCCGTTCTGAGCACCCTGAAGTGATACCTCTCTGTCTTTACTGCTCTGGCTGCCAGGACATGAATTCCCTAATAATTGAAACTGTTTAATTTCAAATTGCTCAGCTCTGTTCGTGCCACTTGCCCTGTTTGCAGTGCAGTTTGGGACTCTCTGGTGCCCTGAACTGCAACGAGGTGATGTCACTGAGTTAACACACAAACCCCTGGGGAGGAGATGTGGAAAAGTCATGGGAATCCTCCTTGTTCCCAAGAGGTGCAGCACAAGGGCCCTCAAAGGAGCTTTAGGAGGAGTTCCAAGGCTGGCCTTGAACATGGGATACTTCCTGGACACGTACCTGGGGTCATTTGGCCTTTTCAAGAACAGGTAAAGAGACGTGAGCCTGCTTGGGGACTGGACTGCTCCAACCATGGGACACATGGCCAGCCCAGCAGAAGCAGCTCCTGCCCTCTGCCACCAGACTGCCACCAGCTTTTGATCCAAGTATTTTAGGGAGAACATTCCCCTTTCTCCCAGCTCCCACTTCCTCACACACCCACTTGACTGAGGATGAGGAGCAGGTTCTGCTTGGCCTGATTTGGAAGGGAGACACAAACCCCACTGGCCAGGATCTGGAGTTATCCAGCTGTACTTCAGTCTTTCCTGTCCCATCATTCTAGTGACCCAGAAGTCTGGAAAATAAATCATATTTGTAATTGTTGGGTTATTCCTCTACACAAATGTATTCTTTCTATTAGTGCTGTGTATGAGGATATGCAGAGAAAACAGGAATGTTCTCGGGATTGGAGACCAATGGGCAGAACATTTTTTGCAGGCCCACACAAAACTTTTGGGTTGTCCCAAGCCAATGTCCCAGAAGGACATCAGAGTCAGCACTTTCACTGCTGAAATTACCCACAGCCAAGATAAATACATGAAATATTAGTGGGAATATTGAGAAATAACAAAAACTGGTGCAGAAACCACAGTGGAATGTGCTCGCAGGGACATGCACAGGCACAGCCTGTCCAACAGACTCGTGGTCATCCACGATCCTGGCTCACAACCTACAGCCATTCCCTGAAACCTTCCACCAGCCTGAATTCCTTTTGTACGAAGGGAGTCTCGTGGCCTGTTTTAAAGCTCTAACACCTTCATTTTGGTTCAAGCTCAGCTTCTCTCCAGGACTAATGGGCATTTGGGAAGCTGTGAAGATCACAACATCATTGTGGGAGAGAAAACTGTTCCCCCCTGACATCTCCCGCGGTCTGTGCCCACAAACCTCAGGGTCCATCACACAGCCTTCAGTCTGCATGGGAAGAGCCAGCTGGAACCTCTGGAAACCTGGAATGCTCATAGGATTGAGGAAGGGGTAAAGCACAAGCACTGGCCCCTTCTCCAGAAGCTGCACACCAAGATCCCAAATCAGTTCTTACTCCAGTACTCAGAAACTCACTGGAGTCAGAGCTTTGGGATTTAACTGCTGCTGGAAAAGGAGGAAACGCCTGTTTGCATGCACAAAGATTGTGAGTTTTCATCCTCTGTTCCAGTGGAAGTTTAATCCAACAGTCCCCTTGCTGTGTGTCCAGTGGCCTGGTCACCACTGCCTTAGGTGAGCACAAATCCAATGGACTGACGTGGGAAAGCAGCCTGGGCTGAAGATGTGCTCACATAGCTTCATTTAGATCTTTCCTGATGGGAGAATTGAGAAGCAAAGATGTTCCCACCAAACCTACTCATCCAATTACTGGAGCACTTTGAAAATGTGATACGGATCAGAGGAACAGCCTGCGCTTTTCCCAGGACAGAACAGGAGTGTGCAGACACTGCACTTTTGGGAAGCTTCAGGAACCAGACACAGGAGCTTTGTGGCTTCTCTTCATTGGTTCTGACTTGCTCTGACTCCTCACCTGCTCACCATTAGCACCCCGTGGTGCAGTTGTGTTTGACATCCCTGTAACAGCCCCTGATTTATATGGCCTCACACAATCCCTCCTCCTCTGCACGGCCTTGGGAGCAGCAGAACAGACATTCTGAAATGGAACTCCTTTGAATCAGTCACTGCCAAAGGAGCAGACACCTTCAAAGAGCATTATCTCTGTGAATCAAACTTCACCTTCCCAAATGATCTCTTTTTTAAATGAAATGGAGCTTTTAGGGTTTGGCAGAAGCGGACAAATACTCCAGTGGACAGACTTAAAAAAAACAGGTGAAAGCATGACTGAGATTCAGAGTCACAGCATAAAGGAGGGAAAGGATCTAGGGAGAAATCCAATGTGCCACATTCATCACTCACTCATTCAATTACAAGGATTTGAGCAACTGTCCAATGAAGGGAATTCAACCCCCCCAGTTTTACGGTGTACCTCTGATGCTTTTCCACATGGCACTGCAGGAGATGAGCCATGCTCCTTTCTACACCCATTCCCAACAGAAAATCTGCAAACCATCACCACTGATGTTCCCTAATTTAGAATCCATGTCCTAACGTTCTCTGTCTCCAAAGCATGGCCACCACATAATGCCCTGCTTGCTTTAGGAATGTGGTTTTCCTTTGGTCCGATGGGAGCACCACGATTACGTGCTGCACGTGCCAGAGAGGCAGGGCTGGGTGGGGAAGGAGAAGGGAGGCTTCAGCTCACAAGTGATAGTACCTATTTCTGGCTCCACAGCCAGGCTGTGCTTCTCCCACTCTGTTTTGATGCTCCAACACATTTCACTGGAGATGTCACCAATCCCAGGCAGTCACGACAATCTGGGGTGCTGGGATTCAGCCTCGTGGGGGAGGGAAGACAAGCAGCAATTTTTCTGAAGTCTGTGGCAGGAACAAATGGATTTGTGGTGACTGTTATTTGAATATTAGTATTTAGATGAGGCTATTTTTCAGTCTGAATGTACCATTAGAACACAGGAGATCTACACCTGGCTCTTCCTTCCACCTGGCTGCAGTGGGACATCGCCTCTTCCTAAACTTCCATGGTGAGGTTTTCAGATCTGGTTAAACATCTTGCAGAACCAAATGCCCTCTTGCTCCCCACTGCCTGGGAAACTCAAAATACATAAAACACAAAATACAATCTCCTGGAGGGAATTAATATCTTACGTGTGTTTTACATAACTACAGTGCCTACTTGGGGTGCAGAGGATTTTCCCAGAACTCCAAATGTTGCAGTTCCCACTGTTGTTAAGTGACAACTTATTTACATGCCAGAATTCTGAGGCAGCACAAGCCAAGGTCTCTGCTCACATCACCTGTTGCAGGTACCCCCAGGAGGTTGTGAGAGGCTTCCCTCTCCATGGCTGTGCTTCAGCCACGTGAAGGAGGAAGCCCAAAAACCCTCCTGAAACTGAGCACTCGACCCGGGCGCCTCAGTCCACGCCAAAGGGACTCCCCACAACCAGGCCACCCTGTGCCTCCTGCCCCAGCAGCCTGGTCCTGCCTGGCACCGTGCCCCCAGCCCTGCAGCACTGAGCAGGGAGGGGAGACCAAGTGTGGCTGCCCATCCCTGGAAGTGTCCAAGGCCAGGTTGGGTTGGCTTGGAGCAACCTGGGACAGTGGCAGATGTCCCTGTCCATGGCAGGGGGTGGAACTGGATGAGCTTTAAGGTCCCTCCCAATACAAACTATACTGTGATTCCAAATCCAACAGGATCCAAGGGACGACAAGGCAGAGGGTGAGGAGCTTGGGCATCTCTGATGCCAGGCCAGTGCTCTGGGAAAGTGGGGAACCAAAAGCCAACCCTGTGACCTGCTGCTCACCCACCACAGGATCAGCTTTCCTTTCTTCAGCTGCTTTTCTTCATTCTGTTCTGCAGCACCCTGTGCTATGGAGTGACAGAAAGACGTAACAGCTTCTCCAAACACAGTTATCTTTAGAAATGGAACTGCAAAAGAAAATGACACCATGTAGACACTGTAAAAAGAAAGCCTTCACTACATTAAAAAAAAAACAACTTACATTCTTGATCAAGGAACAAACTGGTCTGAATAGTCACAATCACATTTTACAGCCATGTAACTCTTTTTATCTTTTTCTCTCCCAACATCTGAAGAAGATGAACATCTGATTCCTTTATGTGGGAATTGCTTAAACCAGCACTTGGAGAAAATATGCAGTTGAATATTGATCTGAAAAGATGGAGTGAGTTCAGCCATGAGTTAATGGTCCTGGATTTTGGACAGGGGCTGGCAGAGCTCAACCCCTCTCAGGACCAGCCCCAGCCTGGTTCCTGCCAGCCCTACAGCCCAAGGATCCTGCAGCTCCATTCTTTTCAGCAAAGGTTGGCTGCAGGAACACAGCACCATTTTATTTAATCATGGTTGGTGTTCTCATATCCACAGGAAAAAAATCCTGGGAGCAGAGTGTATTTTCATGATCACTGCATACAGAGTGGTATAAAATGTCTGCACCGCTTCTTTCCACTCCAGCCTGTGCCTTTGAAGTCATGGTAACAGCTTTTGGATCCCAATCCTCTGATGAGACTCCTTGATTTATTAGGTAAAACATCTGGAAAAAATGAGGACTTGTGGCAGTGTAAATCCTCCAGAAGGAGCAGAAAGAGGTTTCATCTGAGCAGCCCTCCTGTCAAAACGCAGGAAACCTGAGCCCTGGCCACTGGCTTGAGGGTGCTCCGAGGCTGGAAAGCTCCAGCCGGGCCGTTCCCCAGTGCCAGAAAGCAGCTGTGAGCAGAGCAATGTCCAGCAGCCAGCAGCCAGCTGGGTGCTGGGGCCACGCCAGGCCCTGGCATGGCTTGCAGACACTCGGGTGTCAGCAGCACTGCTGCCCTTGACAGCACCGGGGAGCCCCTGCTGTAAATCCCGGGAGCACTCTGGGATGGAAATACCTGCAAAGACCTGCCTGTCACCCACACAGGAACAAGCACCAACCAAACCCACTGCCCAGGCCCCTGCCGAGAGGGGCCTTGGGGTGACTTTTCCATCCCAATCGCAACAGGAATTATTTTCCGTAATTACAACAGGAATGTCGGAGAAGAAAATGGTTTGGAAGGATTGAAGCCCCGTGCAAGTAACAAACGAGGCAACATGCATTTTGTGAGGCAGATTTCTTCTGTTATTTGGAATCAGGCCTGAGGTAAGGGAAGAAAAGAGAGGAGAGAGGGAACAGCAGGAGCAGCTTGCTGTGCCAGGAGCTGGGCTCCCCCGTGCAATGCGTGTGAGAGCACACGCGTGTGTGCAGCCGGTATTTGGCACGTGGGTAAAGGTACAAATCACCCAGGTACTTGACTCAGAATTATTTACTCTCTGCCTTCTCCACACAACAACCCAGGTTCCAGCCCCGACACTCTGGGAAAAATCCCCCGAGAACACTCCTTTGCCAGTTATTTTCCCATCTAAGTCCCTCTTCCAGCAATTTGAATCACACAGTTCAAACACCAACCCTGATGCCAGTGGTGCTTTTTGGAGGGGGCGTAGGACTGGTGGAGGAGGGGGAGTTTGGGCAGTATTTTTTTAATCAGATAAATTATTGCTGGGAAACCAGCCACTTCTCTCCATTCAATTTATACTCTATGGGGAATCCATCTAATACCCCTGCTCAGAGTGTGAGGCAGGACCAGCGAGATGCTGTATCAAACCAGGGAGGGAGGCAAAAGATGGGATGGAGTGCAGGGAACGAGCAAACAAAGGGAGGAAAGGGCTCTGGAAAAGCCTGCAGAGAAGAGGGAAAGCCAAGGGATGTGCCTGCAGCTCCTTAAACAAGGGAGGAGGGGAGAAAATTGATTTCTCTGCTGGCAAATTGGAGCAGACTGTAGCATGGGCAGAGTGGGATGGGATGGGATGGGATGGGATGGGATGGGATGGGATGGGATGGGATGGGATGGGATGGGATGGGATGGGATGGGATGGGATGGGNGGGATGGGATGGGATGGGATGGGATGGGATGGGATGGGATGGGATGGGATGGGATGGGATGGGATGGGATGGCTCAGAAACCCAAGGAGCTTTTCACTTACAGGAGGTGGCACAGCTCCAGGCAGGATGGAGGATCCAATCAGGCTCTGGTTGAGTCTGTAAAATGAGTTTAGCGATTTGCCCCCGTTTCCCAGTGGAACTGGGAAGCTCCCAGTTCACCTCACCGCTCTATTTGGAAGTGGTGAACACTTTGCTGGCTGGCAGAGAGAAGCCAAGGCCTGGGAACAGAGACAGCCTGCAGCACCCAGGGCTCCAGCATGCTCGCAGGACAGCGTGTCTGGGAAGCCTGCCCTGCTGTCTGGGTGTTCCTCTCATCCCTGTTTGCACTCCCTGCTCACCTCAGGCTCTGCTGCAGCTCCACGGCCGTGGGACAGGCGTGTCCCTCACCCAAACAGGCACAGCTGGAGCTGGGCACTGCCAGCAGGGGCACAGGCAGGGAATGATTGTCCCCAGCCCACCGAGCGAGCTGGTGACCAAACCTGCCCGGAGCCTGCTGCCCCATGCAGGACTGGTTCCCTTTCATGTGCTAACACCAATTTAGTCCAGAGGCTTCCCAGTCCAGCACTTCCCAGTGACTATAAATGCACACAGAGTTTTTAAAGAATTACAGAGTAATGGCACCCGAATGGGTGTCGAGGTGCACTTTGCTGGCCTTTTATTCTTCTTTATAACAAAGAATTCAAAGCTTTAGTGGGAGAGTTGGCAGTAAGCTCAGGAGATGGGGAGACTTCTGAGGATGATTTCCCAGATTCTGGGAGTGACTACAGTACAAATAATGTTGGAAAAGAAAGGAATTGACTCAGCAGGAGGCAAAAGGGAACAAGTGGAAGAGTAACTCTGCTCTGGAAAGCCACGAGGAGAATACGACACAAAGCAGAAAAGAGAAATAAGGCCCAAAAAAAGAAATACAACATGTATTTCAGAGGGATTCCTTCTGACAGCCTGACTGTCCAAAAACTGCTGAGTGCCATTCTCAGGAAACTGGGCCTTACACGAAGTCCAGAGAATTTTGGCTCAAAACAACGAAGAGATGCTTTTACTCAGAGCTCATTCCCATCCTCCCCAATAGTCCGTGGGCTCTCTCCAGTCTCCCCTGGCTCAATCTAAGCAGTGTGAAAGTGTCGCTCCTGACATTACACCTTCCTTTCCCAGGCAAAATTAATGCTCAAAGCAACACTGATCTAAACACGTAATTAAACCCCCTCTAGCCCACCTACCTATTAAACTCATTTCCAGACGCCAATTAACCTCTGAGGTTATTACTGGGGATTACAGATCTCCCTAGAACTCCTTGTGCCAGGATCCAGGGAGCCCACTTGTTCTGCAAGTGTCAGGTCATGGGGATCACCTTAACCTTGGATCCTTGTCCAGCTACCACAGTCCTGGGAATAAAATTAATAACTTTCTGGCATTTTCTCCCTCTCAAAGAAATGGAGAAAGTGTTATCTCTTCCTCCTCATAATTTTTCCTTGTATTTTGAGTCCCCAGACATCTGTACTTTGTTAAAGCACTGCCCATTTCAGAGGCTTTTTCCAGGACTGGATGAATTCTGGTGATAGATATCCAAGCTGCTTTGTACATTTAGTAGTCCCTAAATGTCTGTTTTGGAATCTGTTCCAGATTCTAATCATTTTACATTAAAGTTTAGGGACTCAGTAAGCTCTCCCCTCCCAATCCCCAAGAAAAACAGAAACAACAGCCCTTTAACCCTAGATCAAGTACAAACCTCTCCAAAATCCCAGCCCGGAACCATCTTTCATCAGTCTCTGTTTTCTGTGACTCCTGGACTCCACAGGACGTGCAGAGTCTCCCTGTCCAAGGAAAGAACACCCATGACATGACTCAGGACTTTGACCAGGCTGCTCGTGGCCAGCAGATGCACATTAAGGGGCCATTTAAGCCTCTCCAACATTTCTGGAGCTCGCTGGGCGGTGGGAGTTTTAGGCTGCTCCATTGTTCCACCTTGGTTTTCATTCCTCATTTGACACCTGATGCCATGTGGTTTGTAGAAATCCCTCTGGGCTCAATAAACTACAGAACTGAGCCTCCTTATTCTGCTTTTTTCTTCCACTCGTGGGGATTCCGCTCTGGGTTTCTTTTTCTTCTGTCCAGCTGCACACTTTCAGGTAACTTTTGGGAATTTTGTATCAGTGAAGTTATTCCCAACTCTGCTGATTTTCAGAAGGAATTCAAGGGAAGGGAAGAATGGCAGGAAAACAGCAGAATACCTCTTTACAAACCAAGACTAGTGCAAAAGGACTGCTGGAAATCTTGTTTTCATCACCCACAAATTCCCTGATGCTGGAAAACGTCCCCCACTTTCCCATCTTCTCCCATTTGCTGCAAGTTCTGACAGGAACAGCTTCTGCTGGGAAGAGTTGACTGTGCCAGAAAGGGAGAGCTGCTGTTCCTACACCGCCCTCCCCTCCCCAGATCCCCACATTTCAGCCCAGAAAATGGAAATTGCTCAGTGTTTACCAACCCTCCTGCTCCTTCCCGCTCCGCCAGGACCTCTGTGCCTGAGCCAGGTCTCTGCTGTTTACAAGCCCATCTGCTGCTGTTGCTTTTCCTCACCTCAAGTTTGAATGCTCCATTCAGGATTTCGCTCACCATTGTGTTGGGAACTGCAAAGAGCAGCTGAAGATTTCAGGTGGGAAGTGAGCAGCAGGGAGAGAGGAACGTAAATCTGTTCTCATGTAAAAAGCCCTCAAAATAATTAAAAAAAAAAAAGAAAGAACCAGATGAAATAGGAAATTCCAAATGTTTTCAGCAGCATAGTCATTCCACTGAGAGTTTGTCTCATATTTTTGTGAGAATTTGAACATTTAGAACCAGAAGGGAAAAGGCACAAGTGTTCCAATGGCTGTTGCCCTGAAATTACCCTGGTCCCTCTGGTCTGTGCAGTTTAGTCTGTATAAGAGCTTCAAGCCTCCACTTTACCCAAACCTGTCAAAAGTGAGTGCTCTCCATGCAGTGTAACTCAAGGCTGCATCTCTCCAGGAGTAAAAGGGAGACCCTCGGGAGTCAGAGAGAGACTGGAAATGTCTGTGTCTGCCCAGAGGCCCCTCTGAGCAGCAGAGCTGCTGCCCTCCTGCCCGAGCCTGCACGAGGGGTTCTCTCTCCAGAGGCTGACAGATTCAAGCTCTCTCCTATCCTTCCCTTTGCCAGCAGGGAAGCACAGGGTGGAACAAGCCTGGGCAGATGCTCAGGCACCACCAGGCTCCTGCCAGGAGCAGGGGTGGGAAGCAGCCAGGCTGTGGCTCATGCTGTGCTCCTGGACATGGCGTGGCTGCAGTGGGAACCAGTGACCCTGCAGCTCTGCTGGGCCCCACTGCTGGGTCTGGGTTTTCTGCTCCCAGCTGCAGCCTCCCAGTTTATGTTGGTGCCTGGACTGGGAGAGAATTGTTTTCCTGGGCCCTTCTCAGAGTCAGTGAGAATCAGGAGAACACAAAGAGCTGAACTGCCCTGACCAGGAAACACCAGTGACTGAAGTGTCTTTGCTCCAGCCCTTCCTGGGCTTTACTCCTGGAGTTGTGAACTCAGCCAAGAACTGGCTAAAGGGAGCAGCATTTGGAACGGGCTCTGCTGTGCCCTGAGCTTTGGGAGGCCCAGCCTGTACAGACACACCTGTGGGAGAGCAGACATGGCAGGTTACAGAACAAATATCCATGGGAAGTTCACACAGTGGGTATGGACAGTGTGGAGCAGCAAGAACTGGGAAGTGGAGAGGATGGATTCTCAGGAAGGAAAAGCCCACCTGAGGTTCATTCTGACTGTCTTTCTGTGCCACTGGAGCACAGTGGATCAGCTGCACCGGTTCTCAGCCAGAAATCTGCCTGGAGTAGAGAGGAACACACTGTCCCACTTGGCAGCTGCCTGGCCCTGCCCTACCAGCTCAGCACAATGCACAGATCCCGTCCCAAGGCTGGAGGCTGTTGGGAAAGGAGCTTCCCAGGAGGGCAGGAGGCCCTCACTGTGGCCAGGGCAGCTGCTGGAACCCAGGATAACATTCCCTTCCGTCTGCAACGCCTATAGCCCTTCCCCAAAGGATGTGTGTGTTTGGATTATGTCTCTTTGAGGACTTCACCGTGCAGAGCAAGGTCTGAAGAGCCCAGAATTGCCCAGAGGTGCTGAGTGAGTGCTGGTTCAGCTTCCCCAACCCAGAGCACTCAGGGAAACTGCTGGATTTACAGACACACTCCCAATGGAGCCAGCAAGGCGCTGGGATGCCCTGGAAATGCAGTGCTGAGCAGGTGAGGGCAGAAAGACTGAAATTAGACTTTGCAAGACGTTCCTGCCTCGTTCACTCCCAGAAATGTCCTCTTTGAGCCAAACTGTTCCTGGGAATAGCTATGTCTGACACCAGGCAGTGCTGCAGCTCCAGGGCCTGGAGCAGGACCTCAGGAGCACACATGCTCTTCATTAATGCTAATCCAGGAGCAGGAACGATCCGAGAGCAGAACCTCGGAGGGGATTAAGTACACAGATACCGCCTCATGGAGCTGCGGCGCAGGGCGGGATCCAACCTGAGCGTCCTCCAAAATGCACTCAGATCTGGTTGCTCTGGTTTGGCCTCGACTCCAGCAGGATGGAAGGAGCTCAGGGAGACGGTGAGAGAGGGGAGAAGGGAGAAAGAAAAACAGTCTGCTCCCTGTGCTCCCCAAAAAGCAGCGTTTCACTGCTGGGGCTCTCAGCGTGCACTGCAAACTTGCCTCCCTTCCCTCACTCCCACTTACATTGTTCACTTTCCTGCAAATTGTTTCCACATTCTGTATAAATAACCCCGGTGCCAGCGAGGGGGAGGGGAGGCGCAGGGAAGGGGTGGGAGGAAATCCAATGGCTTTGTTACTTTGGAAAAAGAAGGTGGAGGATGGAGAGGAGCGGTTGGAGCTGGAGCCCTGGCAGACGGAGCAGAGAGTTGCCATCGAGCTTGCGTTCAGACCTGGAGGAAGAAGAGTAAACAAGGAGGAGATTATATATAATTATAGACAATCATGTTGCCAGGGATAAACAGGAATCAAAAGCACGGAGGCACTGGAGTCTGGCACATCCCCAAGCACGGAACAGAAGCCAGCCAGCGAGAGGCACTGCAGCAGGAACACACTTCCCTTTGGGCCTGCTTTCACTTAGCTCAGGGGCTGGGGGCTTTTTCCTCTCTTTTTGGCTGGAGGCATTCCCCCATAAAGAGAGGAGCCCATCCAATGGGGAACAGAAGCCAAACTGAAGTCAGCAGAATTCTTGTCTGTGACATTCAGCGATTACCCTGTGAGAAACATTTGGAAAAGATACAGCCCACAGAGGTCAGCAGGAATAACAACAACAGGAATTTCTGAACAAAAATGTTTTTAAAGGCACTCCAGAATCTGTGCCTGAGTGCCCTGTGGGCAACTCCGCTTTGGCACAGGGGGAGCTGCAGCTCAGGGTGGCACTCGGGTCCTGCTTGTGGCTCCCAAGGAGCCAGGGTTTGCTTAATGGGGAAATGGTGAACAAAGCCATGGAGAAAACCTGAAACAACAGCAGATGGGCCATGAGGGCTGTGCTGTGGGTTTTAAAAGGAGGACTTGGGGGAATTTAACAAAGAAAAAAGAAAAGGAGCCTCCTTCATTCCCTTGAAGGCCCTTGAGAGTCAGAGGGAAGGTGACAAACAAAGGACAGCAACCGCCGGTGGTGACAGGAGGAGATTGTTTAGCAAAGCAGTGTGAAGAGCTCTCTCCCAGGCACTGTTTTCAATCCAAATAGCTCACAGCCTGCTGAATTCTTAAGCCATTTTGCTGATCTCTCAGCTGTTCTTCATTGAGAACGCAGGCAGATACTTCAAAGCAAAAAAGCAGAGAGGAAAAATAAATATATATAAGAAACAACCAGACCTGTGTTTAGAATCTATGTAAGATCAGCAGAGGCAGGGAATGCTCACAGGTTTCTTCACCTCCCTTTTGGTACAGGTGTTCCAAGTGTCCTTTCTCCTAAGGAAAGAAAATGGATTTTTTAAAGGGAAATGACATTTACTCTCTGAGAACAGAGTCACAGTTTGGTGGATGATATTATCTGGAGATCTGGATGTAGGATTGCGTATTTTCTGTGCATTCATCATTATGGGCATCTTTCCTCTGGGATTTCTTCTGTTGATAAATCCTTCCCCAGAGGATGTGCCTCTGTGTGTGCACATGCAGGGGTGAATGAAAGATCTCTCTGCTGGCCATGTAGAAGCTGTTTGGGTATCACAGACAAGTGATAAAACAGGAGTCACGTTCCTCTCAAAACTGCTGGAAAGAGCTCAGAAAGAGCAGAGGGCATAGACTTGGAAAAGACAGTAAAGAGTTAAAAAAGGTATTTGGAGTCTAAGTCTTATCTACTCTAAATTTACATCGACTCTGTGAGGTAATATTTAAGCAATCTACTCCCATGCCAAGTTACAACAGCTCCTTCCAAATATCCCAGATCATGAACAGAACCAAGACTAAAAAAAAGATAAAACAACAATAGCAAAAATAGCCAAGTGTGTCCTTTCCCACGTGCCCCTGTGCAAAGTGGGGCACAAACAGTGCCAGGACTTGAGCCATATGGTGAGAGGGTAGGTCTGGACAGGCTACAGCCTCTGGACTTTCTCTTTCATTTGCACCTGACCAAGAACAGAGAAGGACACAGAGCTCTTGTCCCGATGTTCTGGCAAAACTGAAATGAGGTTACTGATCTCCTGCAAGCACAAATGAACATCAATCACCAAACACTCATCAAAGCACAGTCCCTTGGTGTTGTTAGACAGCAAGAATTAAGAGTTTATCAAGCTGGAAAGAGCAGAACCTCGAGGGAGAATGGATTTCATAAGCAAGCAGCAAATCCTTCTCCAGGCGCCTTGGTGCAACTTTGGCAGTGAGAAAATCAAAAGAGCTCCCACCTAGAGAGAAACACACAGGAGTATTCCCAGCAGGCATCTTAGGAAAAGCCCTTGGTGGGAGGAAGTGTCTTGCCTTGCCTCCTCCAGCTTTCCTGAAGCAAAGAGGGGGAAAAAAGACAGGGGGAAATGAAACAGAGAATGATATTTGCATTGCTGCTTATTTTTGCCCTGCAAAACAAATCTGTGTGTGCTGGAGGAATGGTTTGCACTGGCTTGTCAGAAAACCTCTGCAGCTGGGTCAGTCAGTGGGACACCCTGGCTTAGGACAGGCAGGAGGCAGCAAGAGCTGCCTGACACATCCCACAGAGGCACATCCCCAGAGCTCAGCCAGGGCCCAGGGCTGCAATGGAAGCTGCTGAAGGTTGGCAAGCTGAAACTCAGCTGCATCTCACCCTGCTAATCCCATTTTGGAGACTGGAACTTGGCCATGGGGAATGAAAATATGACTGAAGCATTTCTTTATTCCAAGTTTGCCTATCTGCCTTGGAGTCCCACCTCTGGAAAATTCAACTATAAAGGGACAGAGCAATTAGGGTTTTTCCCCAGGTCCTTGCTCATGGTACTGGAAATCCTTGTATTCCCAGCCCTAGGATACTGTTATGTCCTAAAGTGTCCAAGAGCACAGTGACTGCACAGAGATGGGGGATTTCTCTGAGGTCAGGGATCACAGGCTGAGGGAGACCAAGGGATGAGCTGCAGCATCACCCACTGCACCTTTAGTCACCAGTGACCTCTCCATGGCCCCACTTCCCTACCCAGGTGCTCAGGAGGCAGATGTTTAAACCTGCCATCCAGAAAATGTGTTTCCCTGTCACTGTTCATGTGCTGACACTCCTTATGCAGCCACTTTGGAAAGAAATATTCCTATTTTTATGAAAAAGGGCAGGGATGAGCTCAGCCCTCCAGGCCAGAGCTGCTGGGTGCAGGCAACTTCCAACACGTGCCTGTAATGAAGTAGAGAGATGCTCAGGGGAACCCAACATTTTGTTTAATGAAAAAAAGCCCTGCTTCAAGCTTCTGAAGGGTTATTATAAGCTGTGGCGAGATGAAACTCAAGACATAAGTCTCTTTGTATTTAATAATACATGGGATCGATTTTTTCCTGTGGAGAAACTTCAATGAACACCTTTTTTTTTTGTTTAAATCTTTTGTTGCAGGTATTGATTATTCATTGAAAATCTAAACCCCAAAGATGTGACCAAATGATTTCACAAAAAAGGCCTGATTTCTGCTCCAAAGCAGGCATTTCCAAGCAGTGACAACCCTTTTGCTGTACAGATATTGCGACGCTGATGATGAGTTTATAATTAGCCCATACAAATGTGTACACAAATGTACATGACTGCATTTTGGGGGAAACTACTCACCCCCTAAAGCAAAAATGCAGCTACAATACACACCAGGGAAACGCAGCAAGCATTCTGGTCTTAGCAGGTAATTAAAGCAGATTAGTAAAAGTCAATTTATTACCAAACTATCCCCAGAAAGGCTCCCACAAAGCCCCCTTGAAGAGCTGTGACATCCAAGCGATGTCTGCTGAAGAGGCACCAGTCCCTGGCTTTACTATAAATGACTTTGTCACACAGACAGTCCAGCAGGCAATGACTCAAACCGCTGTATTTCTATACCTGATGCAACACGAGGGTGCCATCCTTTTAAATATGTATTTATGCTTCTTTAACATCCCAGATCTCCTCCTGAACACCGGCTGACTGCGAGTCTGGTGGGATTTATTCTCCGAGCTGGAGGGGGGGGTGAAGCAGATTGAGATGCACATGAGACAGGAGGAGGCAGAGGGAGAGAAAGAAAGGAAAAAGATCAATTAACGACCTCATCCCGGGACAAAACAGCACAATTGGGGTCCCTAAAGTCCCCTCAAGTCGGTCGTGGGCGTAAGTGCTGGGCAGGGACGCAGTGCTCTGTGACAGAGCCCAGTTCCAGCGGCCGGGCACGAGTCTCCAGATCACAATAAGGCAGCTTGAAGGTGACAGATTTCATTGTTGAAGGTGATAAAATTCCACGTGGCGCGCTGCAAAACAAGGGCTGGAGCGGAGAGGGAGCAGCGCCGCAGGCAGCGCGGCGGGAGGGAGCGTCCTCCTGCTCTCCTGGCCTGGAAAATCCCGGGGAAGGGCCCGGTGCCGGCCCGGGGGACAGGTTTGCTCTTGCCTGACACAGGGCAGGGGAGGGACTGCCGGGGGTCAGGCCAACCTCGGCATTGCCGCCTGCGCCGTGGGAGCGCCGCCGCGCTGCCCCGGAGCCGCGCCTGCCGTGGGGCACCCGGGACCGCGGGGAAGGAAGGGAAAGGGAAAGGGAAAGGGAAAGGGAAAGGGAAAGGGAAAGGGAAAGGGAAAGGGAAAGGGAAAGGGAAAGGGAAAGGGAAAGGGAA